GTTTCTTTCTTTGCCTCCCCACAGTGTGCTTTCAATATGGTAGGCAGAAGTATTCTTTTAAAACATAAATCAGATCATATCACTCTTCTCAAAACCTTCATTCAGAACAATAGCCAACACCTTTAAAATTGTCTACAAAATCCTTTATAACACGACCTCCCATCCCCTTCCTGACTTCCTCCTCTACAGTTTCCTCTGAGGTTGCTCTGTTCCAACTACACTGGACTCTGCTCTTATGTTTCCTTCCTGGAATGTGCTATACACCTACAGAATCAATCCCCTCGGGTCTTGGTACAAATATCACTTTTTGAGAGAGTTCTTGCCTGTACACGCTACTTAAAATTATATCCCCTCCCTATCTCAGCATTTATTATACCATTTTTCTGCTTTATTTCCTCCTTGGTGTTACATTTTATTCATTCATGTTATCTATTGTCTCTGTTATTTCAATATAGTATAAGCTCCATGAGTACGGAGAGTTCTGTCTTTTGTTTATGGCTATTGATCTGGCACATGTAAATAATGCCTGGAAGAATAGTAGGTGTTCAATAATATTTGTAGAATGACAAATGGACTGCTGGATTGATGAAAAAAAATTCAAAATGAATGTGACTCTCCTCTCCAAAAGAAATCTCAGCTTCAAACCAGATTGTGGATTAGGAGGGAGGATGAGGGGGCTTCTGGTCTGCTGGTGATATCTTATTTCTTGACCTTGGTGCTCATATCACAGGTGTGATCACTTTGTGGTATTTCATTTAGCTATAAACTTAGGATATGTGCACTTCTTCTTTGTCACTATTATACTTTAGTAAAATCTTTTTTTTAAAAAGAACAGATTTTGTGACTGGCTCTTCTCCATGCTTAGGGGTTCCCAGTGCAGATACCAATTTACTAGAAATATGTAATTAATGCGTATTTCTTTCACATATGCAAGTCATCTATTATCAGTTGAATTGAGGAAAGAATTATATAAAATTTACATTTGATACCCTTCTTTCTTCCTTCCTGGGTCATCAGCCTAGGTGCTAAAATTTCTGTTGTAGGGCCCCATCTGAGATTCTACTTCATGAATCTACTACATGCTCTCATATCCCATTTTGTCTTTTCTACTTCTCACCTTTTCAAGGCTCTAAAAATGAAATCCTGTTATGGTAATGTACACTAAGACATGTATTACTGGTGACCATCAACCTATCTTAAATAAGAAGTTTTAGCTACTGTGAATTGCCGATTGGTGGAAATTCCCAAGTATGAATGTGCTCAGCACAGCAATTCTGGCTACTGGGAAAGGATTTGCTGGGAGAGGACAGTGAGCAGAAGCTGGGTGATGAGCCTTTTTGAAATTGCAGAATCAAGGCACCTGACTACATATTTGACCGCATGTGAGATTAGGCACACTTATTACACATCCATGTACTAAACTGAAGCATGGCTAATACCCTCAAGGTGCACAGAAGAATTCACAGATGAGAAATTCCAGAACTGTCACCCAGCATGCACTGCATTTAGTTCTCAAAGGACTTACAGCTGAACTGAATCAGCCCACCCTCAACCCCTCTATAGAAGTGGTGTTTATGGAGAGCAAGTGGTAACATGTCTAAAAAGTCAAGTGAATTAAGTTAATAAGTAGTTGTTCAGAAATAGTCATCCTTACCAAAGAAGAATTGGAGGAATCTGGGTCGTCCTCCTTTTCAGAAGCTCTAAAGTGGGATGGCTTTTCTTGAAGTTTTGCCCTTTCCAAAGCTTCTATTTGACTAGAAAAGAAAACAAACAACAATTTAAAATAATATTCACAGGGACCAACTCCTGTAACTTCCAGTGGGAAGTTAAGCGATCTTCATAAAAGATGATAGAACCATAGAACATTCAATCAGAGTGACCAGGATGACATATTAAGAAAAGTATACAATTAGGAGCTGGCTTAGAGCTCTTATCACTTAACAGATGTGTGATCTTAGACAAGTGGGTTAAAATCCTTGAGTTTCTATTTTCTAGAACATAAAAAGAGAGCAGTATCAGAAATTCCTACCTCAAAGAACATTTACTATGAAAAGCTAAATAAATTCGATTATTGTGTTCACAGTGTCTTCATAACCATCATCATCACCATCTATCATGTCC